CTGGGGACTTGCCTTTTGCTCAGCGCTTCCCAGCGGAGAGGTGACGGTGGTTTCCCTTGCTGCATCCCCTTTGCCGAGTTGCTGCGCTGTGAGAACCACCGCTTGAGGCTTCGTTTGGCTGCTGGCTGGGCTTTCTGCCTTTGGCTTGGAGGGGCTCAGAAGTTGAACCTCCCTGTGTTCGGAAAATCCCTTATTTTGGCTGCTGATCCCTTATTTTCGAGGCTGCTGGTCCCTTATTTTCCCTTATAAGTTGACAGCTATGAAAACCCTGGAAAATGGCTGCCAGTCAGTGTAGACAGTACCAAGCTAATTGGAGCAATGGCCTGACTACTTTATAAAACAACTTCCTGTGTTCCTGGGAGGGGAACAGCGGATGGTTAGCAAGGATTTCTACCAGTCCTTCCTGGAGATCAAGAGATCGAACCATCGGCTTTCTGTGCGCACGGCATCTGAGCGACGGCCCGTCCTGGTGCCTCCTGCGCACAGTTTATGCTGCTGGCAGAGGTGTTGTGCATTAAACCCTGTGCAAGATTGCCCAAGTCTGCTCCGCGCAGCCTTTCCTCAGAGCTACGGCCCACACAAGTTCTCTTGGTGTTCAGTCTTGTGTGTGTGTGTGTGTGCATGCAAATACACACGCTATATAATTAGCCCCTCGTTATGAAGGGTGCTATAGGAACCAGCAGGGAAATAATGTGTTGCTCCAAATGTATAATGAAATTCAATTAGCGCAAACGGCATAAGAACAGTTTATGGGCCGCTGATTGGGTGGTGGTGGGTTTCTAATTGGAAAAATACCAGTAACGCGAGCTTCCCTATTATCTCTGCCCCACCTCCCACCCCAAAAGTCGGGAATGAAACTGGCATTAAAAGGAGCCTTGGCTGACAATGCTGCTGCCCCCCCAAGTTAAATGTGCACGGGTTGAATCTCCCTCTGATGCAGTTGAGGAATTGCTTTGTGTGCACTTAAAAAAGTCTCCCCCCTTTTTTTCTTTTAAAATGAAAGCTCTGGTGGTAGCAATAGGCTGCCGCCGATGATTGTGCTTTGCATGCCTCCATGACCATCTCTTTTGCTGAATGAGCGAGTGCTGCAAAACACAGGGGTTTCTCTGCAAAACGCTGCAAAAAAACCAAAAACACTGCAAATCTTTTGCACAGGTTTGGAGAGGATCCTAAATCTTGGGGTTCGTAGTCAATTTTCCTAGAGTGAGCAATCTTTGGGCATGCTGGCTGGCAGCTTTCTCCCACTCCTGCACCAGGAAAGGCTGGTTTCTGCAACCTGTAAAAATTACGGAATTCTAGCATGGTTGTGTAATTTCTCGCTTTGCATAATTCATTCTGCAGAGTTTCTTTCTTTCTTTCTTTCTTTCTTTCTTTCTTTCTTTCTTTCTTTCTTTCTTTCTTTTTTGCATAATATATTTAACTGCTTGCCTGTCCTGGAGCAGGACAAGAAACTCATTGGGGTAGGGCAGCGATATATCCCATCCCTGTACTTCTGGCTTCTGTGATCATCGCTGGGCATTACATTTAAGCATATCCCAGGGGATGGTCAGCAGCCATACTCTGGGAAACTGCATTAACTGGCCAGCTAAATCAGGTCAGGGTAGCCGACAGGTCTCAAACCCTCGATGAGTTAGGGATTTCCCTTCATGCAAAGACAGGCTCTAGCAGACAAACCAATCGTGGGTCCAGCGGTCAAGAAGGCAGTTTCTGCACGTGCTGTAGAGGGAAGTGAGGGGCAGGTGGGGCTTGTCTACCTGCAAAGGGAGCCCATCTAGGAGAAAGAAGACTCTGATCCTGAACCTCTGCTGCCTTGCAGGAAATCTTCAGGAGACGAAAAGGCTCAAGAGTAAACCCTACACAAATCCAGAGTGGAGTCCTTAAGATGGTTGGGTGGTGCCTTGAATGCCTCCTTCCATCAGCTCCTGTAGCCAAGCTGGTGCTCAATGTCTTGCTCTGCTTTCCTTTGGACCACATCAGCCAGGCTGGGGGGGGGGGGCCTGTCTCATCATGTGGGCAGCCCAGGGCCTCCATAAACACCGCCCGGGCTTGCGTTCTGCGGGGGGTCATTTTAGTGCTGCTATTTCAGCAGTTTGACTTCATGTCCGGAGGCGCACTCCATGGTCTCTTGAGACAGACGGATGCCAACCACAGCAACAAAAGAGGGGGTGTGTGTGTGTGTCAGAAGGCACATGAGAGAGAGCAAAACAAAACTCCTATCGAAAATGTATAGCCTGTTGCTTGAATGGGACACTAAGGATGAGGAAGTAAAGGAGGTAATGGTGAGATGGGCAATGGACCTTGGACATAACATAGAGTTTGATAAATGGAAGGCATTATGGAATAAAGGAATGAGATTCTTGGCATGTATAACACTCAGGGAAATATGTATAAAATGATGTACAGGTGGTATATCACACCTGTAAAATTGGAAAAAATATACAAAACTGGTGATAAATTATGCTGGAAATGTAAGATCAAGGAGGGTGACTTTTATCACATGTGGTGGTCGTGTGAGGTAATCAGAAAATTCTGGGAATCTATTTATAATGAGCTAAAAAAAATCCTTAAATACACCTTCATAAAAACCCCTGAGGTATTTCTGCTGGGGATAATTGGAGAGGAAATCAAAAAGGAAGATCAAACACTTTTTCAGTATGCAACAGTGGCTGCCAGAACTTTAATAGCGCAGAATTGGAAGACATCAAAAACCCCAACCATAAATGAGTGGCAATCTAAACTATTGGATTATTTAGAATTGGCAAAAATGACACAGAAAATAAGAAACCAAAAAGGCATAAAGTTTAATAATGAATGGAATAAATTTATGGTATACATGGAAACAGAAGTAAAAAATGTAAAAAACCACAGTAGGTGTGACATAATGCCTGTGACGCAAAGAGTTTTTTGAGGAAAAGAAACTGCAGATAGAGAAATTCTTAACACATTCCGAAACCGAGATGAAGGGAAGTCAATTTAGTGTTGTGTAAGTTAATGTAAGGTAATTTGTTGATGTCTTATGTCAGGTGATGTTCTTTCTCTCTCTCTTTTTTTCTTTTCTCCCTCTATTATTATTATTTTTAAGTTTGTCTTATGTATTTTTTCTCTGTGTATTTATGTTTTATATGTTGCCTTTGTTTTATAATGAATTAAATAAAAAAAAAAAGAGAGAGAGAGACCACCGCTTTGCTTAAGCTAAGCCAGGGGCTAGTGACCCTAGTGGGCACGTTTGGAATTTTGAGAAAGTGCCTTGGCACTAGTGGCAAACTAGCTGTCGCGTGTGTGTGTGTGTGGGGGGGGCACAACACAAAAGGGGTGCCACAGCTAAAATAGCAGACAAAGAGACAGGACTTCTAAATGGTGCAGGCAGAGAGGAGCTGTTTGTGCTTCTCCAATGTTCCTTTTGGGTTGACACCCTCAGTCCTTTTTGTCAGGAGTTCAGCCTACACTCGAGTAGGACCCTGGCAGAGACACATGCCCAACTGGCATATTCTCTCCTTCCTTGTCAATCGTTCGGAAGCTTCAAAAGCTCTCTTCAGCCCAAACATCACAGCAACCGAGGCCAACCGACACTGGCACACTTAGGGATCCACAGAGTTTCTGCCTCATGCGTGACAGACCTCAGCAACTCAGCATTTTGGCTAATCTACTTTATTTACATATAAACACACACGGAGCACTGCAACATGGCTCCCTCCCTCTCTAGCATCAGACAGCAAAGAGAAAAAGAACAAAGGACAGTAGTCCCACTTCACGGAACACAGTAACACAAACATCCTGTCTCCGTCACATCCCACTCTGTGGAGTCAAAACATAACACCGTGATGTGATAGACAAAAATCCCATGACTGCGATCACGGAGCAGGAATTCTAACACTTTTCTGTCCCTAAGTGGGACAGAAGGCAAGGCCTCAGAATAGGGGGAACATTTTCTCTGTCTTGCCAAATGCAAGGTGGTTCTTTTAAAATGAGATTCAGAAGTAATAAAAAGGCACAAATAAGTGAGAAGATGAAAGATTTTATTCTAAACAGCAAGCAATATATATACACATACCAAGCAAGCACTTCCATCTGCCACTTGGAAGCCCTCAAGAAGCGTCAAAGTGACTTCCCCAGGGTAGCTTGCCCATACAGCTCCTAGAGCAAATCAGACCAGGAGGCATATACCTGTACACCTGTCAGGCTGCCACCCTAACCTTGCCGGGGACCATAGGAAGCTGCCTTTGGCTGAGTCAAGCCATTGGTTCATGTAGTTCAGTATCGTCAACATTGCCAGACAGGGGCACTTCAAGATTTCAGGTGGGGTTCCCTCACAGACCTCCCGAGACGTGCCAAGGACCTTCTCTGTTCAAAGGAGATGGAACACCACTGATGTCACTTACCTGGGCGTGAGAGCCATCGAATTCCATAGGATTTCCTTCTGAGTAGACATAGAATCATAGAATCATAGAGTTGGAATAGACCACAAGGGCCATCGAGTCCAACCCCCTGCCAAGCAGGAAACACCATCAGAGCACTCCTGACATATGGTTGTCAAGCCTCTGCTTAAAGACCTCCAAAGAAGGAGACTCCACCACACTCCTTGGCAGCAAATTCCACTGTCAAACAGCTCTTACTGTCAGGAAGTTCTTCCTAATGTTTAGATGGAATCTTCTTTCTTGTAGTTTGGATCCATTGCTCCGTGTCCATGGTTACAGTTGCGCCGTCAAGCTGGGCCCAAAGGCAACAGGCCTGTTCTTTTCCTACCCTTTCCTGTGGCTCCCTTGGGAATCCTGCCTCTTTTTACAAAGGCTTAATCCCTCTGCGTTGTCACCCTCTGCACGCCTGGGAACGCCCATTTGCCGACATGACCCCGCAAAGCGCCAGCTTAACACCTTGTGCTTTCTTCTTTGTGCTTTTCCTCACCGCCAGTTACTCCTGAAGCGATTGGGTTCCTCTCAGCTGTCGGGGTCTTCATCGTCCTCTTTGCGGTCCTCTTCCTCTTCATCAACAAGAAGCTGTGCTTTGAGAAGATCGGGGGCCTCCCCTGCTTGGAACAACGCGGGAAACGTAAACGCTACAAAGAGAAGTCGGCCGTTCACGAGAGCCTTGGTAAGTACCGCCATACTCCTTAAAAGAAATCGGATCCGAGTAATTTAAGGAATAGGTCGGAATCTCCTGCTTTTAGCAAAACTTTGAATTGATTGGAACTGCTATCTTTTGCTTTCTGGCACCCGTTGGCCACATTTGCACGTCACACGAAAGAGCCATCAATTAGCCATGATGGGGGACCTTTTCCACCTTGGGCTTGAATAATTAGTTCGGATTCCTGTATTGCAGGGGGCATAGGTGCTGGCTTCTAGAGGCCAAGGCAGTTTTGCCCCCCCCCCGTGTTTTTTTGAGGGGTGGGTAGGCGCCCTCAATATTCAGAGGGTGTTTGGTTCCACCCCCTGGCTGCTTGTGATGTTAGGACATCCCATCAGTTCCCCTCAATCAACTTGAGAAGATGACACCTCTGGGCAGGCGCTTGGAGTTTGGGTCGATTTGGACCCCTTCCAATTCCACAGGTGTATGATTCCGAGGGCCACATTTTCCTGTGGGCAACCTTCCAGGGTCCACATGCTGGTGGTGGGAGGGGCCAGAGGTAAAAGTGGGTGGAGCAAAAAACTTAAGGGCAGATAAAGAGGTCTGGATGATGCCATTCAGCACCTCCTCATCCTGTTGTTTATGTTTTTAGATATGCTGCAAGTCGCCCAGAGTGGCTAGGGAAACCCAGCCAGATGAGTGGGGTATAATAATAAAATTATTATTATTATTATTACAGTGGTACCCCAGGTTACATACGCTTCAGGTTACATACACTTCAGGTTACACACTCCGCTAACCCAGAAATAGTGCTTCAGGTTAAGAACTTTGCTTCAGGATAAGAATAGAAATTGGGCTCCGGCGGCGCGGCAGCAGCAGGAGGCCCCATTAGCTAAAGTGGTGCTTCAGGTTAAGAACAGTTTCAGGTTAAGAACGGACCTCCGGAACGAATTAGATACTTAACCTGAGGTACCACTGTACTGTGTCATGCAGAAGCTGGAATGATCCCATGTGAGTCTCAGGCTTGCACAAATTCTCCAGGAAGAGGACTCCCAACAGCATTTTGCTTCATTTCTGCTGAATATTTTGAAATTTTTCTGCATGCAAACAGGGGTTTGTGGTTTATAACAAACTCAGGTTCGTTTAACCAAGGCTTGGAGTTGACTTGCTTTGAAAGTGACCAGAGTATTTTATAAGCCCCACCAATGACAAGCCGAGAGTTTCGTGAAAAAGAAGCGTGGCTAAAGTTGTGCTCTGGACCAGAGGGGGAGGCAAAAGGGCAGGTGGGGCTCACTTCGGCTCATTCCGGCTTGTGAATGCCACACTAAACTATGGCTTACCGTGACATGCCAATGCTGCCATTACGTTTCCTCTGACAGCAATGAGTTCTACGAGAATAAATGGTAAAATATCATAATAATGCTGGAATAATAATTCCTATATTTTATTCTTATCTTCTGGGGTGTCTTGGATGTGAGGCAACAGCCACCTGCGAAATTTATGGTGTTTCCTTTTGGGTGCTTTCTACTTGGTGATGGCTGTTCTCCTTCTGCTTCTTTGGCATTGAGAGGTAGGGTTAGGTTTAGGGTTAATGATGGAGGTAGGGTTAGGTTAGGGTTGGGTTTAGGGTTAGGTTAGGGTTGGAGGTAGGGTTAGGGTTAAGGTTGGGTCAAGATCAACTGCAGGGTTTGCAAAACTTGGGTCTCCAGCTGTTTTTGGACTACAGTTCCCATCATCCCTGACCACTGGCCCCGCTCACTAGGGACGATGGGAGTTGCAGTCCAAAAATAGCCAGAGACCCAAATTTGGGAAACCGCGATCTACTGGGAAGAGTTACTTGGGCTCACTTGGGCCTGAGCTGTTTGGTTTCTTTGAACAAAGAGTTACCGTATTTTTTGCTCTATAAGACGCACCAGACCACCTAAACATTAGGAAGAACTTCCTGACAGTAAGAGCTGTTCGACAGTGGAATTTGCTGCCAAGGAGTGTGGTGGAGTCTCCTTCTTTGGAGGTCTTTAAGCAGAGGCTTGACAACCATATGTCAGGAGTGCTCTGATGGTGTTTCCTGCTTGGCAGGGGGTTGGACTCGGTGGCCCTTGTGGTCTATTCCAACTCTATGATTCTATGATTCTACAAGACGCATCTAGTTTTTGGAGGAGGAAAACAAGAAAAAAAAATATTCTGAATCTCAGAAGCCAGAACAGCAAGAGGGATCGCTGTGCAGTGAAAGCAGCAATCTCTCTTGCTGTTCTGACTTCTGGGATAGCTGCACAGCCTGCATTCACTCCATAAGACGCACACACATTTCCCCTTACTTTTTAGGAGGAGAAAAAGTGAGTCTTATAGAGCAAAAAATACGGTGACTACACTGATGCTTTGTGAGTTATTTTTCACCTGGCCCTGGCACCTGCCTCTGACAACATGGGAATTGCAGGTGGTGAGCTCAATGTCGGGGGGAGCGTGTCTTCATGGCGCCTGGGGTGGGCGCACCAAAATGCGCCCTCGAGAAAACTGTGCCTCAGGGCAATGGTTCCCGCCCTTGCTATGCCTCAGGGAGAGCTCACTGTTTCACTCAGGTCCTACTTGCAGAATCCCATTTAGCATTTGGTTGGCAGCTTTAGGAACAGGATACTGGATGAGGTGGGGCTGTGGCCTGATCCTGTTTTATATTCCTGTGCCATGAGGAAGGCCAGCAGTTGGGAATGGGAAGCAGTGCAGGGAAAGGCGTCCCTGCTCCTTCTCCTCTCACAGATCCGTACCTGTTTCCAGAAATGTGAGGAGAGGTCTTGCATCGCGTAGCTTGTGGGGAGCTTGCGCTAGGTTCCTTTTGTTTTGTTCTCCGCCACGCTCTCACTGTTACACAAACACCGATATCGCTCTGTTAAAAAGTTCCCTTTGTTGAGAGCTTTGCAAAGTCTTTCTTTCTCCTGACAAGTATTGCAATGCGAGGGCCTTAAAAAAAATAAAATAAAAATGACAACATCTCTCCTTCGCTGCGTTGTGGGCGTCGGTGCTTTTTGGAGCTGCCACAGACGGCAGTGCAAACATATATTTACCAAAGCTTTTAAAAAATGTGAATTATTAATAAACAGGGTAGGTTTTAAAAACCGAGGGAAGTGGGAGTAAAAGGGGGGGGGGCTGGGGGCTGAGAAGACTTGCCTGCACGCTCTAGTGATTTGCATTTGAAAGTAATTCTTACATGATTGACAAGTAAATCCTTTAAAATGTGGTATTTATAATGGAAAGGCTCATATCGCCTTGAACCGCAGCCTGTACTGTGGGAGAAAGATGGCATTTGTATTGTTGTAGCCTTGGGTGTGTATATATAGAGACAGTGCTGCTACTTATGAATTATACTGGGGAACTGAAGTAGGAAACAGTTTTTCCTTTTTGCTAAAATGGGCAAGGTTATGTCAAAGCTATTTAGAACATTTACCTGTTCGCTCTGTTGTCTTGGGATTGTAATGGATGTACCAAGAGGAAGAAGAATTTGCCCCAAACAGCCTTTGTGCTCATGCATGCCCTATCTTGAAGGAAATTTGACACCTCTTTGACACATATCGAGTCTGGGGACCACATTTAGGATGCAATGGGGCGCTCCCATTTGTTCATCCGCCTCTGCTGGTTTCACATATTGAAAGGGAAGTGGGGGCGACTTTGGTAACTAAAGGGTGTGCGGTTTAGGGGAGCAAAATCTTCCCTGCTTTGCATCCTCCACTCCAGCCCCTCCCAGTTTCCTCCCAATCAAACTCACTTCTGGTATTTGAACCAGATTAGGGGGGAAATAGGGACGTGGGAGGCGCTGTGGGTTAAACCACTGAGCCTAGGGCTTGCCGATCAGACGGTCGGCGGTTCGAATCCCCGCGACGGGGTGAGCTCCCGTTGCTCGGTCCCTGCTCCTGCCAACCTAGCAGTTCGAAAGCACGTCAAAGTGCAAGTAGATAAATAGGTACCACTCCGGCGGGAAGGTAAACGGCGTTTCCATGCGCTGCTCTGGTTTGCCAGAAGCGGCTTAGTCATGCTGGCCACATGACCCAGAAGCTGTACCTCGGCTCCCTTGGCCACTAATGCGAGATGAGCACCACAACCCCAGAGTCGGCCACGACTGGACCTAACAGTCAGGGGTCCCTTTACCTTTACTTTAGGGGGCAAATGGGCTACAGTGACAACAGGGCCTGATTTAGGTTTGATGAGGCCCTAAGCTACTGAAGATAATGGGGCCCTTTATATGTCCAGCTGTCCTTTGTCAACAACAAATTGTTGCTGTTTTTTGTGTTGAATATATGCTATATGGTAATTTATGGACCTAATAGGTATCTAAAGCGATTTGCACATAACAAAATATGTATTTTATCAAAGTAATTGTTGAACTGAAATACAATTAAGAGGAAGTATATTAATAGTGAAATAATTATTAAGCTCTAACTTAAAATGATTTTTTATTTATAACAAACTTAATAACGCAAACACATTGGCATTTGGCAATAACAAAAGTTCCTTTAGAAACACAATTTACAAAGACTCATAATCTAGTCTCTCGAAACTTGCTATAACATGGAATAATAATTGTGGGTTTTATTTTATTTGTTTTTTTATCTTATATTTTGGAAATGTGTGCCCAGTTTTTTTCCCCTTTAAATTTTTTGGGGGGCCCCCAAGAGAGTGGGGCCCTAAGCTATATCTTGTTTAGCTTATACAAAGTGCTAGGAGGCGAGGTTCAGGCAGGGGAAAGATTCACCCCTGTGCAACTTTGGGGAAAAGATTTAGTCCCCTTCTCCCATCACTGTCAGCGGGGCAGATCCGTGAACTAGGTTTCCCCAAGCCAATGTCCTCCAGATGTTGAAGGACTGCTGCTCTCATCCCCCTAATAATAATAATAATAATAATAATAATAATAATAATAATAATTTATTATTTATACCCCGCCCATCTGGCTGGGTTTCCCCAGCGACTCTGGGCGGCTTCCAACTGAATATTAAAAACAGTACAGCATCAAACATTAAAAACGTCCCTAAAGAGGGCTGCCTTCAGATGACTCTTAAAAGTAAAATAGTTGTTTATTGCTTTGACATCTGCTGGGAGGGCGTTCCACAGGGCAGGCGCCACTACCGAGAAGGCCCTCTGCCTGGTTCCCTGTAACCTTATTTCTCGCAATGAGGGAACCACCAGAAGGCCCTCGGCGCTGGACCTCAGTGTCCGGGCTGAACAAGGGGGATGGAGACGCTCCTTCAGGTATACTGGACCGAGGCCGTTCAGGGCTTTAAAGGTCAGCACCAACACTTTGAATTGTGCTCGGAAACGTACTGGGAGCCAATGCAGATCTCTCAGAATAGTTGGTCATGCTTTCTGATGGGAGTTGTAGTCAAAAGCTTCGGGTTAAGGGAGACTGAAATAAACAAACGTGGGTGCTTCTGCCATATCCAGTTGGTTCTGAATTTCTAGGCCAAAGAGCTCATTCAGACATGTATGTTTACATACCCTCCAGGGACCCTATTTTGCAGGGAGAGTCCTGGGATTACGAAAGCCATCTTGGTTTCTGATTTGATCCTGGAATGTCTCAATTTCCCCCGCCAGCGCCGCTGAGCTTGGGGAGGGGGAGCGCCGGCAGCAGCGGTTTCTGATGGAGCGTCCCGTTGCCTCTTTATGGTTGTTGCTGCTGGCCTCCTCCAATAATAATAATAATAATAATAATAATAATAATAATAATAATAAATTTTATTTATACCCCGCCCTCGCCAGCCAAGACTGGGCTCAGGGCGGCTAACACCAGGTATAAAAACAATTGATTAAAATACAACTTAAAAACAAGATTAAAATACAACATTAAAATGCGGCCTCATTTCAGTAGAAACTCAAATCAAAAACTTTTTGGGGGATGAAAACGTCAAATCTTCACCAAGGCCAACTATCCAAACTGGTCCTACATGGGCCGGAAAAGAGCCAGGGAAGTCCCCAAATAGGAGTTCCGTCACAGAAGGAGAAAGGAAAAAGGAAAGAGGGGGAGGGGATCAAGTTGATTGCAAGCCTGCGGAAAGAAATCAGATCCCGCAGGGCCCTGGTCTCATGAGACAGAGCGTTCCACCAAGCCGGGGCCAGTGTTGAAAAGGCCCTGGCTTTGGTTGAGGCTAATCTAACTTCCTTAGGGCCCGGGACCTCTAGGGTGTTGCTATTTATGGACCTTAGGGTCCTCTGTGGGGCATACCAGGAGAGGCGGTCCCATAGGTACGTGGGTCCTAGGCTGTGAAGGGCTTTAAAGGTCAAAACCAGCACCTTAAACCTGACCCTGTACTCCACTGGGAGCCAGAGCAGCTGGAAAAGCAGCTCATAATGGCTGGTGGAGAATGGGAAAAGAGGAGAAGTTGCCGGTACTGTGGCCCAGCCCTGTGGGACGTGCCAGCTCTGAGGGGCAAGCAGAGGCCAGGGCCTCCCTGAGAGGGAAGAAAGGACGAGGAGTCATTATTATTATTATTATTATTATTATTATTATTATTATTATTATTATTAAATGCTTTGTGCATCTGTGTCCAATCTTGCCCCTTCCTAAATAAATTAAAACAAAATTGGGATTAAGTGGTTTTCTCGGGACAGTGGAGGGCTTGTGTGCTGTGTCCCGTTGGTGAAGCGGTGGTGGCATTCAGCCTTCCTCTGACAGAAAATGTTCTGTAGGCTGGGGAGGGACAAAAAATGGGGGGCGGGGGGGTCAAGGAGGGTCATTTGCAGGGAGTGAGAAATGTCCTTGTTTTTCATCTGAGGAAAGTTAGAGGGTATGTGCTTATCATGTGCTGACTGTCTGCCGATCGTACAATTAGTCTCCATTTTTTTAAAAAAAAACAACAACCCTGTGTTGTTGCATTGAAACTGGGTGATTATAAAAGTTCTGCTTTTGATGGCTCCAGAGTTCCAGAGCTTCTCTCTGCTTCCTTAGAGAGGTCTGAGGATTGAACCAAGGCCTTTTGCATGCTCTTCTATGGAGCTATTCCATTCAGCCTGCAAGCTTAACACATAGATCCCCTCCCTGGGTTGTTCGGGTTTCTCTCAGCCCAGGCTGAACAACCCTTTTGCATCTGCTTTTGCAGGAAGCCTTGCTTTGCGCTCAGGTATTCCAGAGACTTCTGCGATTGTGCTTTTTGTACCGTTCCAGCACATTTCCTCTGTATGGCAACCTTGCATTTTAGAACCTGCTCCTAGCCGTTAATGAACAGTGGGTGTCAGATTTGTACAATATCGAGTTTGCTTCCCTTTTTTTTAATGCATCGGAAACAATGGAGAATGCAATTAATTCTTGCCGTTCCTTTTCCTCCAAGGCAAAGCACGTGTTCTTAAAAGGGTTGGGATGAAAGTAAAACCTAAACAGGAGTATGATTAATGGGAAACAATTATTTGGTGGCGAGCCACTTTGTTTCGGATTCCTGGACAGTTTTATTTGAAATTATGGGGAACTTCATACCAGAGGATTAGAGACAGCAAGTGTAGCAAATACAGTGGTACCTCGGGTTACATACGCTTCAGGTTACATACGCTTCAGGTTACAGATTCCGCTAACCCAGAAATAGTGCTTCAGGTTAAGAACTTTGCTTCAGGATGAGAACAGAAATCGTGCTCCGGCGGCGCGGCAGCAGCAGGAGGCCCCATTAGCTAAAGTGGTGCTTCAGGTTAAGAACAGTTTCAGGTTAAGTACGGACCTCCGGAACGAATTAAGTATTTAACCTGAGGTACCACTGTACTGGTTCAGCTGGCATGAAAAGGCATTATGCGGTTGAGCCTTAGGCGCCTTCCTTCATGTGCTCCGAGTCAATCACTCACTCACTGATCAATGCAAACCATAATTTGCTGTTACAACCAACCTAGCAAACTGTAATTTGCACCCAACCTCCATACCAGAATTTAAACCGATGGTTTGCAGGAGAAATGCAAACCCTAGTTTATTGGTTTGGATGCAGGGGCAAACTATTGCTTCTGCTAAAATGTGGCCTTCCAATTACATCAGGAACGGAGGAAGGGTCTTGATCCCCCTTTGCCAATCCTCTGCTGGCCACATGCTAGGAATGGGTGTGGCTATCCTGCACATGAACACTCGCAAACATATACACACGTGTATAGGCACATGCAGACACCCCAGCCGATCAATCAACTGTTGAATGGGGAGTGTACGATTTACATCCCCATCCATCTGCTGTGTTCAGCGGGGGAATTTAAACCTCTGCATCCACCCCAACATTCTCTGCTTTATTGTTATTTGGGGCACCTGTAAACATGGTTTGAACCATCCCTTGCATTACCTAGTTATAGATTAACTTTCGACATTCATCCTGTGCTTTTGGTTTGGTGAATCCCTGGTTGTCTTGCAAATTTGGGTGAAAGCATTCTCTCCTTCTGGTTTGTGGTGTGTGGACACTTCTAGCTCTCTCTTTTCTGTGCTCTCTTTCTTTCTCTCAGCTTGGATAATTTTAGTAGGTCTAACAAAGAGGTTAAAAGGGGGGCAGGCGATCTTTTGATAACCTTTTGCAATGCTTATTCTGTAGCTCACAGACCTCTGAGTCTGGCATGCTGGCAGAGATGAACAGCTGGAGTTTATGACCCATCACTTTACTTGTTCATGGTGTTCAAAAAAGCATGTCCTCCCAGGATGTCCAGAGTTTCTTCCAGCCCTTGTCCTCATGGATGTCTCGGGTCTATGAGGCTGTCCAAGAAGCAGGCGACTCCATATCTTCTTCCTTCGCCAACCTGGGAAGCAAAGCGGATCCCCATCCCACCGAAGAAGGAGACAAGGGCTTAGAAGACAGCGATGATGGGTCTTATGAACGTTACTCTGAAGCTTCAGACGATGGAAGCACCTTTAGCCAGGAGAGTGGAGAATCTGATGACTTCTCATCATCTGCTCATGACCCTACTTCTCTGGAGTCTTCCTGTGCTTCAGACCTGGGTCTTCGTTGGCACGAAGGAGACAAGAGCAGCCCCACCTTCTCAGATCAGTATCTCGATGATGACCCCTTGACATCCCATGGACTCTACCCAAACTACAAGGGCTACCAACTTATGGAAACCATCCCGGAGGAAGAGGAGCATTCCAAGCAGAGTAAGAATCTTCTACATAACTGTGATGGTAAGTTGGTGTCCTCCTAAGCTCTTTATTTTGCACACACTCTCCAAAAAAAACCATGGGATTGCTGCCCCAAAGGGTGATCCCTTTCAGTTCCTACCACATGACTTCCTGTTCTTACACAGTACATTTCTCTCCCTCTACTTTATATCATTGGTTGGCAGGGAAATACAAGGTGTAAAGACATCAGGACATGGGGCAGGTTATGTCAAAAGTTATGAAAGCAGAGGCAGCCATTTCCCCTCCATACTTACTTGCAGATAATGCTTCGCAGAGGATAAAAGTTATTAGCAACTCCTTACGGCAGATTATAGGGACGCGGGTGGCGCTGTGGGTTAAACCACAGAGCCTAGGACTTGCCGATCAGAAGGTTGGCGGTTCGAATCCCCGCGACGGGGTGAGCTCCTGTTGCTCGGTCCCATCTTCTGCCAACCTAGCAGTTCGAAAGGACATCAAAGTGCAAGTAGATAAATAGGTACCACTCCGGCGGGAAGGTAAACAACATTTCCGTGTGCAGCTCTGGTTCGCCAGAAGCGGCTTAGTCATGCTGGCCACATGACCTGGAAGCTGTACGCCGGCTCCCTTGGCCAATAAAGCGAGATGAGCGCTGCAACCCCAGAGTCGGTCACGACTGGACCTAATGGTCAGGGGTCCCTTTACCTTTACCTTACGGCAGATTATGGTTCCTAGGGATTCCAGCTTTATCCTGTGCTAATCCTGCATCTGATAGCATTGGGGAAGAGATGCGTTCTGCATCACTGAAGCCAATGAAGTTAGTTGAGCCAGAATGCTGGTTCTAAAAGTAGTGGCAGTCATGCATTATTACAAGCCAGGGTTGCCCTACGGCAGGAAATTTCTGGACACAGCAGGTATTTCCTGGACATTAGCAGCATCTGGACAGAACGAAATTTAAGCTCAACAGCTCTTTGTATCCGGGTTTTCACTTTTTGACATATGGCAACCCTGTGACAAGCCATTGCACAAAAATGTATTCAGGGCCCCCACTCTCAATTTAGTTTGATTATGAACCAGTATCTAATTCCATGCCTTCTGACCAGAGGTGAAACATTTGTTATGAGAAGAAGAAATCTAATTTACTACGAAGTACATATCTTTAGAATGCATATAAATTATAGGTGCATCTTTATGCGTAATGTTAATTGACATGACAAAGCTATATTAGAATATATTGGCAGAAAATTGGATGGCTTAAGATATGCATGCTGGCATCTCTATATCAGCACGTGTCTTAGCCTTTGAGAAATTTCCACCGTGAGCCCTTGTATTGGTTAGCGGTGGGTGCATGCCTGTCAGAGAGGGAAAAAATAAAAGCTAATCAGAACTATAATACAACTGCCCCTTGTGTTGAAATTATTGTATATGATCATTTATGAATATTTCCTGGTTTCTTGAGGCTGGGTTTATTTATTTATTGTTTATTTAGATATTTATAAAACACACTTTCATAAACAAATCAGGGTATAACATTAAAAACATGTCACAATTACAGCAACAAAACCACCCATAAATATGGGTTGGTAAAGTATTCACATTCTGAACAATAGAGTTTTCAGAAGATCACAAAAAGAAGGCAGGGAGGGTGACTGCTTCTGTACCTCTAGTGGCAAGGAGTTCCACAGGACACCACTTGACATGGTAAAGGCCAACTGAGCCTCAGGGGGCATTGGGGACCTTCAAAAGTACCCCAGAACATATCTGTGAATAGGATTGGAGCATAAGGAGTCAGGCAGTCCTGCAGGTGTGAAGTTGTTTGGGGTTTGTGAATTAATGCCTTGAACCAGGCTAGGTAGCAAATTGGCAGCTGGTTGCACTAACAAACCTTTATGGCCCTTACATGTGAGCTGAATTCAGAGATCTCCAGCCATGGGAGATTTCTGATTCTGTACGGTAGTTATAAAAACTTCCCGACACAAGCTCTGATTAAGTTCCTAACTGCCACTGCAAATCCCCCTCCCTCCAATCTGTTGTGGAAATACCACAACAATTTTGATGCCTTCATGAGTGAGTCCACAAGCAAGGCCAATTTAGAGATCAGACTTTGTTTCACGGCACCAAGATTCTCAGGACGCCTCTTTGCTGCAAAAACGCAATGTGGGAAAACCACACGCTTCTCCACGTTCACCCTACGAAATCCTCCTAAGGCCTTCACGCCGCCTCTCAAGACGTACTTGCTTTTCTGCTGGAGGCATGAACTAAATATCTTCATGCCAGTTGGAGATACAACATGGACAAAGGGAAACAAGTGTTGGCTGGTGAAAGAGAAAGCAAGCCTTGACGTTCCACAGAAAGTCCAATTTCTGTACACAGATTCTGAGACTGAATACGGATTCTCTCCAGGCAATTCGGACGTTTGTCCCTTCGCAGTGCCTCTCTGAAACATTATTGACATCTCTGCAGCACACAGGATTCTTTCTCCCTTGTTTTCTCTGCTGGTTTCCTCTGTGTTTGGTGCCAGACAGCTTTTCCACTGCTTCTTCTCTGCACGTATAAACCAGGGTTTCCCAAACTTCGACCTCCGTCTGTTTTTGGACTACAACTCCCATTGTCCCTAGCCAGCAGGACCAGTGCTCAGGCATGATGGGAGATGTAGCCCAAAACCAGCTGGAGACCCAAGTTTGGGGGAACCCTGCCTTAACCATTAACATTTAGTCCCATCCCTTCAGAGTTCTGGGCTGGGCCTGACTTCAGTGTGTCCCTCCATCTCTAGTCCTGCTCCTGGAACAGTTAAATTAAGGGCCAGTGTGGTGTTGTGGTTAAGAGCGGTGGACTCGTAATCTGGTGAACCGGGTTCGATTCCCCGCTCCTCCACATGCAGCTGCTGGGTGACCTTGGGCTAGTCACATTTCTCTGAAGTCTCTCAGCCCCACTCACCTCACAGAGTGTTTGTTGTGGGGGAGGAAGGGAAAGGAGATTGTTATCTGCTTTGAGACTCCTTAAGAAGAAGAAGACTTTGGATTTGATATCCCGCTTTATCACGACCCTAAGGAGTCTCAAAGCGGCTCACAACCTCCTTTCCCTTCCTCCCCCACAACAAACTGTGAGGTGAGTGAGGCTAAGAGACTGCAGAGAAGTGTGACTGGCCCAAGGTCACCCAGCAGCTGCAGGTGGAGGAGCGGGGAATCGAACCCAGTTCACCAGATTACGAGTCCCACCGTACTTAACCACTACACCACACTGGCCCCTTAATTTAACTGTTCCCAGAGCAGGACTAGGGATGGAGGGACACACTGAAGTCAGGCCCATCCCAGAACTCTGAAGTGTGACTAGCCCAAGGTCACCCAGCAGCTGCAGGTGGAGGAGCGAGGAAGTGAACCCGGTTCACCAGATTACAAGTCCACCGCTCTTAACCACTACACCACATTGGCTGTAGTGATAAGGTAGTGATAAAGCGGGATATCAAATCCAAACTCTTTCTTTCTTTCTTTCTTTCTTTCTTTCTTTCTTTCTTTCTTTCTTTCTTTCTTTCTTAAGCTGCCCTTCCTTCTCCTGGCCCTTGCAATTCATTGACGCAAGATCTTCAGGGAGAATAGTGCTGGCCGTGCATTGACAATTCCATTTCTGAGTGGAAGCAATCATGGCGGCAGAGGGGGTGGTGAGGAATTGTATCTTGTTTTGATTTTAGAAATAAAACAAAGCGAGCAGATGGGCGGGCAGCCTGACATTCTGTGAAAGAAGAGAGTTTCAATGTGTGTGTGTATCTCTCTCTCTCTCTCTCTGTGTCTCTCTGTGTTTTCCCCACCTAAACAATTTGGAAAAATTGCCTCGCTGCCTTTTCAGCTCAGTGAAATTCTGGGGTTCTTTTGTGCCGCCGCATATTTTTTTTAAAAAAATCTTTAAATGTTGCTTTCTTGGCTGTACGTATTCTTAATGCACCATCTTCCTCCCCGCTCCCCAAAATATAATAGAAGCTTTTAAGGATAAATTGGCACAAAACAAGAGCGACACTTGAATGCTTTTTGTTGCCATAGAAGCGCTTCGGGCGGATGACAGAAGGACCCTTTTGCTAATAGTAAAGTACCGGAAGAAAATAGACACTCTTCATTTAGCAGTTGCTGATGATGGAAGAGCAAAAAACCCTTATGTTCTTATCCCAACATAGACTCTACTGTGTGTGCATATGTTACCTTGGTGGGGGTTTTTCCTCCCCCTGTGTAAAAGCAACAATAAAGTAGTGTCTTAATAAGAGGATTCTTGGGGTAGCGAGGGTGGGAATCCTAGCAGTTGAAGACATGCATTTAAAGCGCATCCAAAGTAATTTTAAAGTGCACTGTTCTAACCCAAAGAATACCGGGAACTGTAGTTTTCCCTTTCACAGAGCTATAATTCCCAGGATTCTCTCGGGGATGTGCTTTCAATTGTGTGTTGGGTGTGCTTTAAATATATTCTGTAGATCTAATCATGGGGTCATGGAGTGAAGACTGGTGTAATATTTGTATCATAGAATTGTAGATTCGGAAGGGTCCTCCAAGGGACATCTAGTCCAACCCCCTGAGATGCAGGAATAGCAACACCTGGACACAAGAGCTTCAGGGCTTGTTTGGAAGCGCTTTTGCCTTTGCCCTGTGAAATCAAAATGAGGCGTATAAAATTGCACATGGTACAGGGAAAGTGGATCGAGAGAAACTCCCCCCTCCCCATCCTAGAACCTGAGATCACCCAATCAAGCTGAATGTTGGAAGATTCAGGACAGGCAGAAGACAGCACTTTTTCACCCTCGCGCTTAGTTAGGCTCTGGAATTCGCTCCCACAATATATGGCGATGACCAGCAGCTTGGATGCCTTTAGAAGAGGATTAGACAAATTCATGGAAGGTGAAGCTCTCAATGGCTGCTAGCCACAATGGCTATTCTCTGCCTCCACTATTTGGGGGCCGTTTGCCTCTGAATACTGTTTGCTGGGAATCAGAAACGGGGAGAAAGTGCTGCTGCACTCAGGTCCTGCTGGCAGGCTTCTCTTAGGCATCTGGTGGGCTTCTGTGTGAT